TGGTCACATTTCTACTGTATAAGACGTTCTTGCTTGATTTCCTTTGATGCTTCTTCGTCATGTGAGAAATCACGCTTTTTGTTACCCTTTCAACTTATTCCGTTAATGTAGATATGACTGGTAAATATCTTCCCAGTGTGACAGTATTTAAGGATGACCTGCTAAGGTTGAAGTTGTAAGCAGAATATCTTGAAACATATGCAACGATCTTGTGGGTGACAATGATTGCTTCACCTTGCCAATATTTGCATCTCCAGGACACAAAAGCAAGAGGAGGACCAATTCATAAAGCGTCTTGTTTTCCTCTTAGACGTCTTCCAGGCGGACGCTCTCTCACCATCATCCCGGCAGACTAGGGATCTCAGAGGCAGTAGGGATAACATAGGGTGAGTGGCGCCTTGGACCTGGTCCATCTGCACTGCCAACACTGAGCTCAAAAGCATTAAGAAGCGGTAATGAGACGTCGGGGAAAAGTAGAGGAGGGATAGATGCCTCTAAATACCAGGTTGTGCTTGTATCCGATACGTAGTCATTATCATCATTAAGTGAAGGGGCTGAGAATCATTAAGACCCACCTGGTGCTGTCGGTAGTGCTTCTGCCTCATCTAGTGAAGGGAATGAGAGACATTAGGGCCCACCTGGTACTGTCGGTGGTGCTTCTGCCTCATCAAATGAAGGGCCTAAGAGACATTAGGACCCACCTGGTACTGTCGGTGGTTTCTGCCTCATCAAGTGAAGAGACGGAGGAACATTGGGACCCATCTGGTACTGTCGGTGGTGTGCTTCTGTGCTGAAATGGGTCACGGTCTTGGACTTACTTCGACTTTGGATAGAACCGATGTGTCGCCCAGGAAGTATTATTTGTGCCAGGTAAACTGACGTTATGCCTAGGTCATGATGTCAGGATCGAGAACATGAGCTCCAATTAGTGGAAGAGGGCGCCCCATCGAGCCACCGTGTTAAACACCCTGAGGCCAGGACTCTACTTCAGTCATACTGACTGTTCATTATTATAGCAAGCTCTTGAATGATTCGAAGTTAAAGAAACATGTTGAGTGGTTCATAGTTAGTGGCGACTTCAGAATTTCTATAAGGGTTGTGGGTTGGCAGTTTCGTTGGAAGGAAGGCTTACGAACTTATCTCGAAGCTGCATTTTTATTATTATTTTAATAATAATAATAGTAATGAAGGGATAATCCCCATTAGCCCCATTATTATTATTATGGGGCTAATGAGGATTATCCCTTGGTCTTCCTTGACACCGCTACTGCTCTCAGCCTTTCACATCAGGTGCCTCAGTGGAGCAGCTGTGAGTATTGAGTACTTTAGCTGTCTTCTATAACAGACGAGGCCCAAACGGCTGCCGTCTTCCATTGCTTAGAGGAAATGGAGTGTTGCTGATAGCATCGTGGTCTAGTGCTTCTACACAACAGCCTCTAACTCCGAGTATCGCTCCACTGATTACCTTCTCCTTGAGCTCAAGTTTCGAGAAAGATGTGGTGTTCGTTGCGGGCCGCCACTATATCTTGGAGCTGATCGTCAGAACTATCTTCGAGAAGACAATCAGGGAATCAGATGAGCCAGAAATCCATCTCTTAAAGATTCTGTTCCGGAAGCAATAGCAGTTTGTGTATGGCACTAAAATTAAGCCAGTAGACACACAGCCCCTGGTGGCATCCTTATCAGTTACAGACTGTGTTGACATCCTTGAATCTGAACAATCACGGTACGACTTCCTGGAGCTCTTGATCAAAGGGAATGGACCCGTTGTTCTTTGCCTTGGATTGAACCTGATTACCTCCCATTTCCCCAAAACCTAGACCCTACGGGTTTAGCGCTTCCCCATAAATATTCTGGAGGAAAAAAACATACATGATACATTTGTCTTTACCACGACAGAGCCTTTGATGACGGCGTCAGGTTTAAGTAACCTTCATTTCTGGGAAAAATGAGACTGGATCAGGTCTCTACTGCCAGTACCAAGAAATTGTTCCAGATGTCAGCACGACCTAAAACAATTCTTTCCAAAAGTCAGACTGAGAGGATGAATCCTTCTAGGTAGCTTGAAGGATGAACAAGGGACTGGCTATGACGACTGACTGTGTTGAGCTTGTTGTGGCAATCTTTTGGGAATTTAACAGACAGTTAACGACTGAAGGGAGAACTTCCGTTCCCACCCACAAAGTCATCATTGAACAGTGGCAACAATTTTCCGAGTGCAGAAGGAACCCAGTCATGGTCAAGAGTAGTTGACGGTGAATGTTGCAAATAACTGGCTAATAGTACACGTTCGATAATCTATTCAGTATTTAAAATTATACTAAGGTAATATTAATTTTGCACATTCAAGACAATGCAAAAAACAAACTGAATAATCATTTAATTGGGTTAAACATATTTATTTAAAGATACAATACAAACTGATGAATTAAAAAAATGTAATGGCATATGTATTAAACAAATACTCAAACATGATATGACATGTTGAGTCCGTTGTCTCTCCTAAGAGTAGAACATACATTATTCCTTAAGAGTTTTACATAAAGTTGCTTCGAATTACTAGACGGAAGTGATTCGGAAGGAATTTCCCAGTGACAACAACTAGTCTGTGTGTGTGTGTGTGTGTGTGTGTGTGTTTGTGTGTGTGTGTGTGTGTGTGTGTGTGTGTGTGTGTGTGTGTGTGTGTGTGTGTGTGTGTGTGCAAAAACCTTAGTGACTAATTTCTGATAATCCTTCAGTGGAGCCTCGTCACTCACAAGGTAAATAGAAATAAGACTACTTGAGTAGATCTTATTTAGCTAGCAGGGTTCGAATCACTCGTGTCTTAGTCATATGATGACCCACCGCTGGAGTTTTTGGTCATCTGACCGAGGCCTTCCGCTGGTTGGGAGGAAGTACGGCCTCAGATGGTGGCTTTTCCCACAGATGGTAACCCGAGGGTGTGTCCAGGTGTGTACAAGACAACAAGCGAGGTTTTAACCCTCACTTTTCGATGTTTCATCGTCTAGGGGGACAATCTAAGTGAGCAGTTGTGTGTGTTGCTGGACTCAGGACGTGACCAAAACATCAGGCAACCTGCGCAGGCTCGTCACCGCCTTAAAAAGTGGATACAGGTTAACAAGTTTTCCTGGAACTGACAGACGAGTAGACAGTGGAAACAGCAAGGAAAATGACACAGCGATAAAAGCAGCAAGAGAAGCAACACAGCAATAAAAGCATCAAAGGAAAACAACACATCACGTATATACAAAGCACCGATATATTTCTTTGTGGCAAAGTATACATTGCACATTTCGAAGAGGATGCGGGTCAGCCATGAAGTCACTGACCTCCCCATGGGACGTCAGGAAGTCATGTAACTCCTATGAGTCAAGAGTCTCATTCAACATATAGTGAGTATCACAGTGAGGAAGGAACTACTGATGTGTATTGTGTTTCTTTTATGTGGGAAATACACGATACTTAATGAGCAAAATGGTGAGTGTTTTTAATGTGTAGAAAAGGAATAATGTGCTGCCTTCCAGGAGCGCACACACACACACACACACACACACACACACACACACACACACACACACACACACACACACACACACACACACACACACACACACACACACAAAATAAACAAACAGTCGTGTCAGACATAAAGTTCAGCTGTGCCAGACGTAAAAGTTTTGTTTAGTTATTTGTGCGAAATATTCATTCTCTTTCTCTCTGTCTCTGTCTGTCTGTCTCTCTCCCTTTCTCTCGTCTGCTTTAGCATAATAAAATACTTCTACAATGACATGTGAAGAAAGTAAACATTTAGTGAATAGCATAAGCATAAATGTTATTATTATTATTATTATTATTATTATTATTATTATTATTATTATTATTATTATTATTATTATTATTATTATTATTATTATTATTATTATATCATCATCATCATCATCATTATTATCTCTTCAATCTGTAATGAATGGCTCGCCATGTTTCGGAACATTGTGAGCCGAAACAGTGCGATCCACTCATGATAATGTTTCTGCTCATAGTCTTCCGAAACATTGAGAACCATTCCATACAATGGTTCACAATATTTCATCTTCTTTTCCAAACTCAAAGGTGTTCACACATAATATGTGACCTGAAAGGGTCGCTATACTGAGGGGTCGCGTTACACAGGTGCCATATGACAGAGGAGTCGTCTTATAGAGGGGGAAGCCGTCCTACTGAGAAGTCGTCTTATAAAGAGATCGTATTTTAGATGGTTCCTCTTACAGAAGGAGTAAGACGGGATAACCAGTCACTCGGGACTAAATATGAGGAGGAACACCAGGACGATGTTTGGATACAATACTAACATATCTATTTCGGTCGGGAGTGTGTCAGCTGGAGAAGACTAGTGGTAAACACACACCTTTTATAGTCCACCACACCTTCAGGAGGCAATAACCGTGCCATCAACACCGCAAACCTCGCCCCATATATTTCCACCCATTCTTTTTTTCCTTCCTCCCACCACTCTCTAACATTAACTTAAAGTGTAAATTACGAGCGTGTTTTTAATATATTATGTATGTGTTCGTTTCATCAGTTGTGTATAATTAAAGGTCAGTGGTGTAATGTTTTCCAAAGTGTTTAAGGAGTGCACGAGAGCGTGGAGCGTTCGTCCATGAGCTGAGGATCTCGGTAATCCTGTGCGATTAGTGTGGGAGTAAGAGATTAGGCTGTCCTGCCGTGAGTTGAGGATCCCAGTAATCCTTAATGATCATCCTTGGTCACTGCTTGTTACTGCAGTCTTCTATATCCTTTACTCTATTACCATTATTAAAACCTCAGTAAATGTCCCTCTACAGTGACTGATATGCATCCGGTGTTTAGTCCCGCATTGCCATTTAAATAAAATAATAGTGAGACGTTGCTCGGTTGGTATCAATGGATATTTTGATTATAATCTTAGCAAAAATGTTGACAGCTTGAGATGGACCTGAGACAAGAACATCTCACGGATATGTCGTCACGGAGACTTGACACGCGCGCGCACCCACCATAATCCTTCCCTGCTGCAATGTGTAGTTCACTGTTTATAGCCAAGGTCGTAATAGCCAAGCGTATGTTTGCAAGATAGTAGCGTGTAGAGGGGAAGGTGAGAGAGGGGTCCGGGTGGTCTAGGTGGAGAGTGAAGAGCCTATGATATAGCATTGCGGTGGGTTGGAGCCGCTACCCTTGCTGTGAAGATCGATGCGCGCATGGCACTGGTAGTGGCGCTGCGCACACCACCTCAGTAGTGGAGCAGCGGGCGTGGGAATCACCCTCCTCTGCCCTGCTGGCGATTTTCCCGAGTGTTATGCTGTGTGTTTCAAGTACAAAGTGAGCAGTAGTGAGCAGTGGTATCGGTAGTGAACGTGGCAAAGGGTAAACATGTACAAATAGTCTGGTAGCGCAGGGTGGCATCCCCAGTGTGTGTTGACTCTTCTGGCTCGCACCGGCGCCTGCCCCCACCAGCAACATTCCCCCACACAGTATGGCCTCGGTGGCCGCTTGGTTGCCCTTTGCTCGAGCAGCTGCCATCGGATGGGTTCCCATCGCCAACAACCCATTGCCGGCGCCGCCCATCCCCAAGGATAAGCGGCGCCCAGATGATGAGAAGCTGCTGATCAATGTGTCGGGGCGACGGTTCGAAACCTGGCGCAACACTCTCGAGAAGTACCCCGACACACTCCTCGGCTCCAACGAGAGAGAATTCTTCTACGATGAAGAAACCAAAGAATATTTCTTTGACCGAGATCCGGATATATTTCGGCATATTCTCAACTACTACCGCACGGGGAAGCTCCACTACCCAAAACATGAGTGTCTAACTAGTTACGACGAGGAGCTCGCCTTCTTCGGCATCATTCCCGACGTGATTGGAGATTGTTGTTATGAAGATTATCGTGACCGCAAGCGAGAAAATGCCGAGCGACTTTTGGACGACAAACTCTCTGAAAGTGGAGAGCAAGACAAATATGTTTATCGTACAATACGTGAGCGCATGTGGCGCGCATTTGAAAACCCTCACACGTCCACGGCGGCGTTAGTGTTTTATTACGTGACTGGGTTCTTCATCGCCGTGTCTGTGATGGCTAATGTGGTAGAGACGGTACCGTGTGGACGCTTACCTGGCAAGAAGGAGTCGCAGCCTTGTGGTGAGCGCTACAAAATAATCTTCTTTTGTGGGGACACTGCGTGTGTGATGATCTTCACTGCAGAGTATCTTCTGCGTATGTTTGCAGCGCCCGATCGCTGTAAATTTGTTCGTTCTGTCATGTCCATCATCGACGTGGTGGCTATCCTGCCCTACTATATCGGGCTGGGCATCACTGATAATGACGACGTCTCCGGAGCCTTCGTCACCCTCCGAGTGTTTCGAGTGTTCAGGATCTTTAAGTTCTCCCGACACTCCCAAGGACTGCGTATTCTGGGTTACACGCTAAAGTCCTGCGCCTCAGAACTGGGATTCCTCGTCTTCTCTTTGGCCATGGCCATTATCATTTTCGCTACTGTCATGTTCTACGCAGAAAAGAACGTAGAGGAGACCACCTTCACCTCCATCCCATCGGCGTTCTGGTACACCATAGTCACCATGACGACGTTAGGGTAAGTGTCAGTCCATCTCCGGCTGGGATGCTCTCAGCATCTCTTTGTTTATACTTTTCACCCTCTTCCTTAACTACAGTCGGTTCTTTTCTTCTCGACAGTTTATCAAATAATCTTCAATCATTTGGCGAGCATTGAAAGAAGTCTTTAGGAGTTATGAAAGAACACGGATGTTATGATGTCCTTCTGGTCATTATGGCAGATGCACCGAAGGCTTGTCTTGTTGCGTAGTGCCAATGTTGACTCTGGTGGATGATGACTTCTGTAGGCATCTGAATATTGTTAACGCACATGTACACATAAATAAGAAAGCCTGTAAACAAACGCACACACCTCACGCATGCACACACGCGCATACGCACGCGCACACACAAATACACACGCGCACGCACGCACGCATGCACGCACGCACGCACGCACGCACGCACACACACACACACACACACACACACACACACACACACACACACACACACACACACACACACACACACACATGATAACGACATATAAAATACTGCGCGGAATAGACGAGGTGGACAAAGACGGGATGTTCCAGAGATGGGACACAGACACAAGAAGTCACAATTGGAAATTGAAGACTCAGATGAATCAAAGGGATGTTAGGAAGTATTTCTTCAGTCATAGAGTAGTCAAGCCGTGGAATAGCCTAGAAAGTGAAGTAGTGGAGGCGGGAACAATACATAGTTTTAAGGCGAGGTATGATAAAGCTCATGGGGCAAGGAGAGAGAGGACCTAGTAGCAATCAGTGAAGAGGCGGGGCCAGGAGCTATGAATCGACCCCTGCAACCACAAATAGGTGAGTACAAATAGGTGAGTACACACGCACACACACACACGCACACGCATACATACGCACTCATGCACACATACATCCACAAACATGTATATGCATACATACACATATATAGAGATGTGGTTGCACAAACCGCCGCCTGTAGCAGAGTCTGTGTACACACACGAATAAATTGTGGTCACGTAAAATTACCATAGATTATATAACTCAACGACGTTATGAAGATGAGAATGATAAGTGATGAGAGACAGAGATGTGAGATATGCAGCTGTGTGTGTGTGTGTGTGTGTGTGTGTGTGTGTGTGTGTGTGTGTGTGTGTGTGTGTGTGTGTGTGTACTCATCTATATGGGTTGCAGGGGTCGGGTCTTAGCTGCTGGCCCCATGTGTGTATATGAGTGTGTGCACTCAACGATTTCTGTTTGTTGTGGTCGATACTTAGCTCCTGGCCCCGCCTCCTAGACCACATTAATCGACATCACTGATTTATTGCTTCTTGGACCGTGTCATATCTACTCTTGAAACTGTGTATTGAGTATGCCTACACCATTGCCTCACCCAAGTCACTCCACTTTTTAACCAACGTGACACTAAAGAAATATTTCCTAACATCCCTATGCTTCATCTGTGTCTTCAGCTTCCACCTGTGTTCCCGTTATCCTGGTCTTCTTAATTCAAACAAACTGTTCCCATCAATCCTATTAATTCATCTTAATATATTGTATGTAGTAATCATGTCCTTCCTTGTCCTCCTCTCCTCCATTGTCATCAAGTTCAGTTCTTTCAACCTCTCTTCATATTGCATTCCTCTCAGATCTGGTACTTGCCTGGTTGCAAACATGTGTCGTCTGTAAGGTTATGAAGGATTTTTTTTTATTGAAGTTCCTGAAAGTTATTCTGAGGTTTGCTAATCTTGCTAATTTGGCGATATGTTATTTGTTATATTCTCCCTCAGGTCCTTTTGACTCTCTGATATCTTCCGCTTTTCTCCACCCGTGCTGTACTCTGTTTTCGGTTTGACTTTTCCTTCTCCAAAACGCTTGACCTCACATTTTCTCAAGTTGAACTCGAGAAGTCACTTGTTTGACCACATCCGCAGTCTGTTGAGGTTTTTTTGGAATTGATCACTGTCCTCTTCAGATCTGGTAGGCCATTCACGCATGTTAGGAACAGTGGTGGTCCTAACACTGATCCTTGTGGAACCCTCCTCCACTCGAATGCCCCGTCACTTCATGTCACTTTATGAATGTCGTCATTTAGTGCTCCCTGAAGCACTGGTTCACTCTCTCCTTCAACCTTGCTTTATCAAATGCTTGTCTATAGCTTTTTATTAACTTCTGCTAGATTACCAAGTCTCATAAGTTGTGTAACGATGATATTTCCAGGTTACAGAGTGCGTGGAACTGCAAACTCAAGATTTTTTCTAAAACTGGTTCGAAATTTAAATACAAAAGTGTGAGTAATTGGTTTAATATGTTGGTTGAGAGTGAAGTGTGACGTCAGATGATGTAGTTCCAGCAGCTGCGGTTGACGTCTGATGGCGTAGTACCACCATCACGATGGTTCACAGATGTGGCACTGAAGACCATTACAGTAGCTCAAAGGTATGGCACTGAAGACCATCACGATGGTTCACAGGTGTGGCATTGAAGATCATCACGATGGTCCACAGGTGTGGCACTAAAGACCATCATTATGATTCACAGGCGTGGCACTGATACAGTAACACACCTTCTCCGCAAGCGGGTTCCCCGCTGACCGAAGAAACAAATGCCAATTACATGAACAAGGCAGAACAATCAGCAAAATATTTAGATGTGGAAGACAACTAAGAACGCTATAGCTTGGCGACATATTAAACGATGACTGGAACAAACAGCTGAGCAGCGTAGTTAAGGAAAATGTTTTGGGTAACCCTTAAAATAGATTAGACAGGTTACGTGAGTGAAAATAGTTGGGTATGTATTGAGTCTAGCTAGCAAAGTTGCACCTGGAGAGTAAACCTGATCCAATATATATGTGAAAAAGACAATTACGGGATATCAGGATATTTATTAAAATACACTTTTCTCCTATCAGATAAAAGAAAACAGAGTATATATACCGGGTCTGGTCTGCCGCTACCCGGGCTGGTGGGCGCAGCCCCGTGTTCTGCTTGGGTAGGATGTCTTGAGCAAGTATTTCCGAGATCATAAAAGTGCTTGTGTTTTGAGCGATGGTGTGGGTATTAGCGATGAGAGCAGATTGTAAACAGCGCCTGCGACGTAGGTCAGATTTCCTGATGACAAGACAGGCATGCTGGAGGTCCACAAAGATGGTTGAGGTTATAAGGGTATGTGGTGCAGGAGGTGGATAAATCACTCATTCCCTTGGCAATCGTATTTATGTTCAGTGATGCGTTGTTTGAGGCTCCTGGACGCTCTCCTGACGCGTAGTTTATCACTTCTCATTACACCAACGACACACTGAGAGGAGAGTCATCAGAGGGATGTGTCTTGGATCTTATAGAACCTCGAGACCAGCCTTATTAGACCAAGACTCTAGCTATATCACCTTACAACACCTGCAATATCACTCACAAGATGTTCATCTTGCAACATCTGCAGCATCACTCACAGGATGTTCATATTACATCTGCAGCATCACTCACAAGATGTTCATGTTGTAACATCTGCAGCATCACTCACAAGGTGTTCATCTTGCAACATCTGCAACATCACTCACAAGACGTTCATCATCTTGCAACACCTGAAGCATCACTCACAAGGTGTTCATCTTGCAACATCTGCAGCATCACTCACAAGACGTTCATCATCTTGCAACACCTGAAGCATCACTCACATCATGTTTATCACCTTGCAGCATCTGCAGTATCACTCACAAGATGTTAATGTTGCAACATCTGCAGCATCACTCACAAGATGTTCATCTTGCAACACCTGAGCATCACTCACGAGAGATGTTTATCTTGCAACACTTGAAGTATCACACACAACATGTTCATCATCATCTTGCAACACCTGCAGCATCACTCACAAGATGTTTATCTTGCAACATCTGAAACATCACTTACTCATGTTCATCACCTGATATCATCTTTCAGCATCACTCACAGCATGTTCATCACCTGGCATCATCTTCCAGCATCACTCTCAAGATGTTGGCATAGTAACATCGTCAACATCCTTCACAAGACATCCTCCTTCCTGGAGCATCCTACCTCGTTCCTAAATTAAAGCCTTCACATATCACATCACACTCTTGTGGGAGAAAGCTGAGTGAATTACTGGCAATCTTTCCCAATAAACTGAAGGAATTCCTTGGAACACTTTCAGCTTCTGAAGGATGTCCCTCAATCCCAGGGAGAGGATCACCTATGTCTTCATTGACACTAAACGAGAGCTGGTGAACTAGAGGATGGTAGCACAGTGCAGTGCACTGGTTCTTGTTTCACTGTAGCACAGTGGAGTGCACTGGTTCTTGTTACACTGTAGCACAGTGCACTGATTCTTGTTCCATTGTAGTGCAGTTACACACACACTTACGCACACATACAAATACACACACACACACACACACACATCACACAACAACACACACAACACACACACACACATCACGCGACACACACACTCACACACACACACACACACACACACAACACACACACACACACTACACACACACCACACACAAACCACACCAACACAAAACAAATCGACATGTGCCAGGACAAAATGGTAACCACAAAACAAACACACACACACATAGCGAACGACATGAAAGGAGGAGGAATAACGCAGATGAATGTGAAGCTGATGAGAAAGATATTAAATCGGATGAGGATGAGGCAGGGCTGCAAAGAGACCTGGACAGGCTGGACATGTGGTCCAGAAGCTGGCTTCTCGAATTCAACCCTGCCAAATGCAAAGTCATGAAGATTGGGGAGGGGTAAAGAAGACCGCAGACAGAGTATAGGCTAGGTGGACAAAGACTACAGACCTCACTCAGGGAGAAAGACCTTGGGGTGACCATAACACCGAGCACATCACCGGAGGCACACATCAACCAAATAACTGCTGCAGCATACGGGCGCCTGGCAAACCTGAGAATAGCGCTCCGATACCTTAATAAGTAATCGTTCAAGACACTGTACACTGTGTATGTTAGGCCCATACTGGAGTATGCAGCACCAGTCTGGAACCCACACCTGGTCAAGCACGTCAAGTTAGAGAAAGTACAAAGGTTTGCAACAAGGCTAGTCCCAGAGCTCAAGGGAATGTCGTACGAGGAAAGGTTGAGGGAAATCGGACTGACGACACTGGAGGACAGAAGGGTCAGGGAAGACATGATAACGACATACAAGATACTGCGGGGAATAGACAAGGTGGACAGAGATAGGA